CGAATCGAGAGAAAATGCTGATCGTCACAACTTTGGATTTCTTTTCTTTGCTGTGGGGGTGAAGGTGAGTCACATATTCCTCATATGGATAAGATTGAGAGTAATGAAATCCTTTACGCGAAGGTGACCAAATTATTTGAGCTTTGACTGGTCTAAGGGTCCGGAATAGATGTCACTCGATAAAGAAAAATGGAGCCTTGCAGATCGCTAAGGCGGACTTTGATACTACGTTGCTTAAATAATTGATCTGTTATCAACGGTGGAGAAAAAAAATCAAGCTCATGCAATTTGCCACTAGCATTGGCAAATTAGAATCCGTCAGCCTCAATGAGTAAACTAAAATTGGAGTAAGCATCGGTACGCGGACGTAGTTGGAGTGAATCGAATTCGATGACCGTGCGGCAGAATAATTTTATGTTTTGGTGTACTCTATGTGCTACCGGTACAGAGCTGCACAAGAAATTAGGATGCTGATGCTGTTCTTATCCACGGTTGAACTCAAATTAACAGCTTCGGTCTGGCCTGACAGCTCACCGTGTTCTGACCTTATTACTTTCAAAGACTGCATCGTATGTAATGCTCATACTAATTCTTTTTATACGCTTCTTCTTGTACCGGCAATCATATAAAAAAACCTTGTTTTAATTTTTTGACAGAGGGGAGCACAGTAAGATAGTTGCGGTGCGCCTTAAAGTGACAGTTTACTTAAACCACCAGTATCTATATCTGCAGAGTGCACTTTCCCGTTTCACCATTAATAAATGAGATCAATGTAACGATTTCATGCTGGCACTGAAGATTAAAATTGGACTTGCACACACCATAATTTTTATGTGGTACATAGAGTGATGTTGACGCGTTCTGAATCGTTAGCACTCTTTTTAGCTGTTAATTATTCTGGGTTCATGAGCTTGAATGCATGAGTCGAAATTTTTTTTACATCTGCAAAGAAAACTGTGTGATACGACAGGTAGAAACATCATACCTCGCTTGTGAAAAGGATATTCTTTCCACTCAGGATTCGAGAATGGTCTTCAGTTTGTATATATTTGAATTTATCCTAGTCGAAAGGTGCCCTACGCCTTCTTGAATGCTACGTTCCCATACTTAATATTAAAATGAGAGAATTAGGCCATCTTGCTTTATGTGAGTAAGAGATGCGTCAACAAAGCTCTTTTCTAAAAGAATGTACCCAGCGAGGTATTATTTACCCTGCACATAACGTCTAGATTGCTCTTTTATCTCCTTCCAGCCCTCTTAAGCAACTCCTTTAATTTGGTATTTAATACCAGATTTGGCATTTTTTTAATTGCAAATATCCGCTGTATTGATCTTAAAACGTCACGAGTGGGAAGTCTTGCTGGTGTTGAAATTTGATGCTCCATAGTGTGCCAGTAGCAACAACATGTTTTAATTTTGTACACAGACACTGCAAAATTTCATCAGCGTTAAATCCGCATCTGCGAAAAGCACTCCGGGATGCGTTTGTACTCCACCCTCGACGAAGGTGTTATAAGTAATTTCCTCCTCGGTGGCAGTTGGATCGAATGAAGATTCCAAAGCTTACGTGACGTTCGCATTTGTCGAGCTTACAATGTATAGCATTCTAACGCCATCTTTGTCGGTTTGGTAAGTCTTTCCGATCTGGACAGCGGTCGTTCTTCGTTCTTAATTCAACGATTGAGGAATAGTGATCGGGATAATGATCATTTGTGTGATGTTCCTTCCTCCAATTGTCTAATATAAACATTTAAATTATTCGCAACATCATCACGCATCGAAGCGTCCATTTTTGGCAATTAAGATTGTATATATGCACGGAACTTACGTCGTCAATTTTGAACATCTGTAGTGACTAGTATGCATGAATACTATAATATTTTCAAAAATTTAAAAAATGTAAAAGTGCTGGTACGAGCTTTCATCAGGGCGGGAAACAAATAGCATTTGCTCACGACGCCTTTGCGACAATCTAGATATATTCTATTGTTCTTTAAACCAGCGCGATAATCCACGCTCGTGGTTTCGACCCTGTACCTACCACCGGCTTTTCATTTTAGTGCTACATTGGCAACCCAAAGGCAACCAAGCGTTTTTCGTTTGGAATATATCGATGTTTCGAGAATTGTCTTTACAGAGCATACACAGGTAATTAAATCATTGTACTAAGATTCTTTACTATGCGCTGGATATACTCTCCTTCGATCTTGTCCGCGCTCTAACTATGTTTATCGTGATCGTTAACGCTTCCGATAAAGGAATTTATTGCAACCATATCTGTCTTGCATTTGTAGTGAAGCAACGTTTCGGAAATCATGGACTAAAAATTTGAGGAGCCAGGTGGACATGGGACTTCGCGGCCGGGAAAGGTACCGGAGACCTCTGTCATAGTTAAGGAGCGGCCTTTGGGTCCATTCGTGACGAGCGATTAAGGTCGCTGCTAACGGGATCAAATCGACCACCGGTACCAGTCAAACGGTACCGATATGGATTGTTCTCAACCACTCGTCGGTCGGCCTGGTAGCCTAAGGAGGTCCTCGGTTCCCCGTAGGCCGACCTGGCCACCCATCGGCCGACCTGGTCACTCATAGGTCGACTTTGCCCCTCAAGGTCTGGTGGCTCCTAGCCAATCATCATTGCGAACCCAGGTGCAAGCAAGGATAGAGTAAAGGAGTATAAAGGATAGGATAAAATTAAAGACTACTCAATTTGCGATCTAAGTAGCACGACGTGTCGTGCGCTAAGAAACTTGTAAGTCTACTGACCTGTTTCTGGCCAGGGATCTGCTTGGCCCACCCGTCGAATAGACGGTTGTCAGTAAGACACAAGCGTAAGTAGAACCCCAGGAAGTACATTGGCCTGTGGGTTCGTAGAGTAGCACCCCTCCCCCCAACTCAAGCCCGCTATAGGAAGCGGTCTGCATACCCTAGTGGGAAGGAAGAAGACATAAAAAGGCGAGGCGGTTAACACCCCTGAGACAAGCAAAGGGAAGACGCCACCAGCACCTGAGACAAATGGTTATCAGACCACTCTCGAACAAGTCTATCGATTGGCCGCCTACATTAAACCCCGACTGAATCATATCCGCTCGCCCCCCTTCAGGTCGACCTCCATCAAGGCCGACGTCTACATCATCACCATGTCCTCCGAAGATAGAAACCCGCCAAGCCGACGAGTACACAAGGTGAGTCAAGGTCCCCAAGCGGCATCGGGGTACCACCTCCGACAGTCGGCAGTCCGGCACAGTGAGTGGTTAAGGGTCTCTTCAAATAGTTGTGACAATCCACTGCACCACAGCAGCATACCAAGAAAGTTGACACGCTGTCCGAAGCACAGAACGCACAGATTTAGAGAGCGATGTTGGATGAAGACAAAGATGTTGCTGTACTTGACTTAAGATTAGCAACGACAACTGACACAAGCAATGTCACCAGCATGAAAGGTCAGAAAAAGATCAAGTAGACGTGGACAAGGGTTGCGCACGGCACGCGTGGTGCCTCGAAGCGTGCGCAGGCAGTTGCGATTCAGAAGGGATCGAGGTTAAGCGGTGTCGTCGTGAATGCTACTTTCGAAAAGGATTCGACTATTACAGTGAAGCCATGTGTAGCAATAAACGCGACAGATGGATCAAGGTGATAGAAGAAGAAGAAGTATAGGCACTTCAAAAAAATCAAGTATGGCAGGTGGTCAAGCTTGCGCCTGACTCTAACGCTCTGCGCGCCAGTTTTGGCGCGCAGATTTAGATCTCTTGCTTTAAGGCGCGCCTCGTTGCCTGCGGCAACGAAGAAGTGCTGGGAGTCGACTACAGCGTCACGTTCGCTGCAGTCATGAATCTGTCAACAGTGAAGATCAAACTGGCGCTTCTGCTACGTGAGGGGGGCCTGCCAAGCACGGCAGCATCCCTAACCCTTATGTTAAGGTATTAAAGGAGGAGCACCTACACATTTATTTACATGTGCTGCGCGGGATGAAAATTTTGAGGGAAAAAATTATGCGTGAATAAGGCGTAGAAGGTGCGGAGGAACTTATTCTGGAACTCAGGAAGAGTCTCAATAGACTAAAGCAGGCTGATCGACTACGGAGCCAGCTTCTGCACGAGCATCTTTTCAAGGCAGAATTTAATCGCTGCAAAAGTAAATGTTTTATTACCGGATGAACGAAGGAGAAGATCTCGTCGTTGTGGGCTTCTGTAAGTGTGGACGATCTTTTAGTGACCGGAACGAGTGCAGACAAAGTCGACCGACAATTCGAAAGCCTCGTGTCACTATCGATTAAAGATCTCGGATGCGTTAGCATATCTTTAAATGCGGATAGAGCTTAATGCATAGGCGCATACAATCTGGACTAGGAGGAGGCGACTAGCGATTCTTTCCAGGCCAATGGTCAGCAAAAGCAAATTCGACGCGCGCTCCGATTGGCGATGATTGCTACGATGCGCCAGGTGATGATGTGGAGCTGCTTAAATTAACAAGCACGGGAAGTGGCCCAACAATACGCGATTTTTTATTCGCTGGTCATGAGTTTGCGCTGGATTACGCGCTGTACGCTACCCGGAATTTCATTTGCGGTACACAATGTTACACGACAGACACACGAGCCGCGTACGTTCAACTCGAAGTTTGCTAAAATCTTATCTGGATGCATTAAGGGCACATAATGTATAAAGACTACAATGACGCCGGCTTAAGAAAACTGTCAAGAAGTGCAACTGGAAGTACCCAGTGATGCTGAATTTGCGAGTGACAAGGTCGATAGGAAGCCTGTTAGAAAAAGGCACGGTTGAAGTTACAGTTGAGGAAACGGCTGACGACTTAGTAAGGCGTTTGAAGATCTGTTGAGTGATTGATTGGACAGATGCGTGGATGGGTGATTGATTGGACAGGAGTGATGGAGAACAAGAACAGCTAGTCCATCATGCTAGCACGAAAAATACAATGCTACAAACAATGTCAGAATCCTTTTATCACAGTGCCACAGACGTCCTCTCTACAGCTTGCATCATGGCAAGCGAACAGGTTATAAGCCCAAGACAAGAAGAAAACGAAGACACCAACGCGGCACAGGCGCCGCCGGCAACCGGTCACGAAAGGGCCGCGGACGCGCCTGCTACGGTCGTCTCTCCCATCGATCACGCAAGGAGCGCGGAGCCTGACGGACTGGCGAGGGTTCTCGAGATGCTTTCGGGCATGGACTTGCAAATGCAGAAGATGGAACCGTCCCAAGCACGCATGGACGAAGACGAGCGCATGCGTGGCGCTCACGAGAAAGAGCTGTTCCGATCAGAGCTCGGGGCGGACTTCGCAGGTGACTCCACGGCGGAGCAATGGAGCTTGAGGACTTGCACGATCGGCAGCCTCAGCAACAACTGCGGCGTGCACCAGCGCGGCTCGAAGACCTACGGATGTGAGCGGGAGAGCAGCTGCAGCAGCATGCTGATCCGTTGCCTCAGCCGCCTGCCTCATTGCCGCCATACCAGCCGCCACCAGTGCCCCAGGCGATGCCGGTAGCTCCAGGGCAGCCAGTACAGCAGCGGCAACAATTGATGCCGATGCAGCATCGCACTCCGGATGCCAGGCAGCGCAAGCTGGCGATCCACAAGTTCGATGGCACCGAGGTGTACGTTGGACTCGGGTTCGGCTTCTTCGACTGGGGCAAGACGTTTTGGCGCCAGGTCGACATAGGAAAGGAGTCTTGCGGTTTCCTGTGGAGCGAGAATGTGAAGACTGACGTGCTCGGGCAGTACCTCACTGGCACTGCCGAGCGGTATTTCAGCAAGCAGGTCGACACGTGGTGGTCCGTGCTGCCTACATTGCAGTACGTGATGCAGCGCATGCTGGACACGTTCAAGACGACGATAACCGCACCTCAAGCAATGAAAGTCTTCACAGCGAAGAAAGAGAGCAAGAGATCCTGGCCAGAACACTACTTGTATCTGTTCGCTGTCAGCGACGCTGCGAACAGCGCTGAGCAGCAGGTTCTGGACGACATCGTGCGCTACGCCTCGTCTGAGCTGTCGATACACTCATGGCGAAGTACCAGACGTACCGCATCGACTACCTCGTGCACGCGCAAGGGCTCGCTCACCGCGCGCAAGCAATCGAGATTGATTCTCGATCAGGAAGATCGTTCGGGAAGGAGGTCGACGCGCACGTGGACGAGTCCGTGTCGCGCAGGGAAACACGCACTTGCCACGGGTGTGGTAAGGTCGGCCATCTGAAGAAGGACTGTCAAATCAAGAAGCAAGACGACAAGAAGAGGGGCAGAAGCTTAAAAGACGGCGGCAGCATCACGCTAGCCGTTGATTAAGGAAGAGGTCGCAACGGCTCGCGCGCTACCGGCTAAAGTCTGGCGATGTCGATTGGTGACGACAGCGATGACGAAGATGACGACTGGATACTCGACAGCGGTTCCAGCCGCCACCTTATGAACGACACATCCCTGCTGCGCGACGCGAGGGACTGCGATCAAGAGTGCCACTTGGCAGATGGGGAGACCACCAAGTTAACGCAAGTCGGAAGCGTCGTGCTGACTGTGCTCGCGAGAGGGCAGCAGCAAGATGTGACGCTGACGGACGTGTAGCTGGCGCCCGAGTTATCACGCAACATCATGTCCTACGGTAAGCTCGAGTTCAAGGGTTTCGGGCTCGTCTACTACGGCGAGTCGCGCGTGTTGGCACGGCGCAGCAATGGCCAAGTCGCATTCGATGTGGCGATGGACCACAATGTGCTCTACGTCCAGACAGTCGCAGCGGCTCGCGACCCACGAGCTCCTAGCGACGTGCTCAAGGCGATCCTGACGATCCAGGCAGATCCGGAAGAACCCGAGTCGGACACGCAAAGCGGCTCGCTGCTGCACTTCCATTAAAGGCTTGGGCATCTCGTGTACGACACCGTCGAGCGCATAGCGAAGGACCCCGCGTCTGGCATCGTGCTAACGGATTGCAAGCGCCCGACGTGCATCTTTTGCGCACAGGGCAAGCAAACAAGACACCTGCAGTCGAAGAGGGACACTGGATCAAACTCGCCGATCGACAGAGTTGGCGGGGTGGTCTGCTCAGACCTCAAGGGTCCGATGACCCCGAAGAATCGATTGCACAATCGTTACCTTGTCAACTTTGTCGATCACAAGTCGAACTACTGTCGCGTCTTCCAGGCGCCGACAAAGGACACGGCGGCCAAGAAGTTCGAGCACTTCCTCGCGTTCTTTGAGCGCCAATTCGACTGCCGGATCTACGTGCTACGCACTGATGGCGGCGGCGAATACGCGAATGTCGACCTCTTCTGCAAGCGAACGGGCGTCGCGCGGCAGATCAGCGAGGCGAGGAATCAGGCGTCAAACGGCAAGGCCGAGCGCATGCACAGGACGATCCTGAACATGGCGCGCAGCATGATCTTTGCCAGCCGACTGGCATTGACATTTTGGGGCGATGCGGTTGAGTACGCGGCGTACAACCTCAACCGCAGCCCAACGAGCGCGAATGCGAAGCGCGCGTCACCGATCGAGGTACTGACAAAGCAAGTGCCGGATCTGCGCGACATCGTCGCCTTTGGCTCTATCTGCTCGGTCTACCGTGACCTAGGCGAGAACTCGCTCGCGCAGCGCGCACAAGTTGGCGTGATCATTGGGCAGAGCGACGAGACTAAGGACTTTCAGGTCTTCCTCCAAAAGGAGAACAATGTCACGATCACGCAGCATGTGCGCAACGTCGAGACGCTCAGCGCAGAGCAGAAAGGTCAGCTGCAGCGAGCGCTCGAGTATGAAGATCGAATCGTGGAGCCAGCGGCAACAGCACCAACAAGCAAAGAGTTGCCGGCTGCCGACGATGCCGCATCGCCGACGATAAACATCGGAAAGGAGAAATCGAAGTCGTAGACACGCGCGGCTCACCGGACGCGCGGCACAACCAAACGCACACAGGCGGCCGGCGATCAGGAGGAGCCAGCTGGCGACGACAGCGTGGTGGCTCATGTGTGTGAGTGCGATTTCAAGAACTACGGTGAAGCACTATGCAGCACTAAGCGTGAAGGCTGGGAAAGGGCATGCGCGAAGAGCTACAAGCCCTAGAAGACAATGGCGTGTGGCGCTTGATCAAGCGACCTCCGGGCAGCAACACTCTGCACACGAAGTGAGTCTTCAAGACCAAGACCGACGCGCGCGGTGAGATAGAGCGCCTGAAGGCTCGACTGGTCGCCTGCGGCAACGAGCAAGTATTTGGGGTCGACTACCAGCTTACATTCGCGGCTGGTATAGACTTGTCGACCGTGAAGGTGATCTTGGCGCTTGCGGCAATCTGCGGTGTCCCAGCAAAGCATGGCGACATCCCCAACGCGTATGTCAAGGCTGACAAGGAAGCGCACTTGTAGATACTACTCCAGGTGCCGCAGGCAATGACAATCGATCAAGACGCGCTTAAGATGGTAGGCGCAGAGACAAAGAAGAAAGTATTGCTGCAGTTACGAAAGAGCCTGTACGGCCTCAAGCAGGCTGGCCGAATCTGTAGCCAGCTCCTGCACGCTTGGCTGCTCGAATCCGGCTTCCGGCAATGCATTTTCGACATGTGTATGTACTAGTAAGTCGAGGGTGGACAGTTAGTCATCGTGGTTGTCTACGTCGACGATCTACTTGCTACCGGCACGGACGATGCAGCCGTCGACCGATTCTTTGTCAAGCTCGGCAGCTTGTCGATCAAGGACCTCGGTACCGTTAATAAGTTTCTCAGCATGCGTGTCACGATTGACAACAGTGGCGGCTACGTGCTCGACCAGGCCGAGGCGATCGGCGAGCTTCTGCGTGAGCATGGGCTCGAGGACGCAAACCCGACGTAAGAACCAATTAAGGCTAACTGCTACGACGTGCTACCAGATGACAGCGCGCTGCTCACCGAGACTAAGGTGCAGGGAGCGCCAACAATCAAGACGTTCCGGTCCTTCGTCGGCAGTCTGCTGTGGATCGCGCGTTGCACACGGCCGGACATTGCGTTCGCCGTGCACAAGGCGACGCGTCAGACTCATCAGCCGCGACTACACGATTTGAAGCTTGCCAAACGCATCGCGCGGTACCTGAAGAGGACGCAAGACTACAAGCTTCGGATGGAACCAGCGAAGCACCTCGACATCAAGATCCAGCTCGAGGCGTACTCGGATGCCGACTTTGCGGCGGAAAAGAGCGACAGGAAGTCATTTACTGGCAGCATTATCCGCCTGAACGGCATGCCGGTCAGCTGGACGTCAAAGAAGCAAGGCGGCGTCTCGCTCTCGACGATGGAAGCGGAGTTCGTCGCTGCGTCGGAGCAGGCGCGCGAGCTTCTTGGTTTCAGGGAGATGCTAAACGAGATCGGTAAGCCGCCGGCGCTACCGATGGTACTCCACGTCGATTATCAGGCGGCACTAAAGCAGCTGGCCTGCGAGGCGTCATCTTTTAAGGCCAGTACATCGATGTTCGCACGAAGTTCGTGTGCGACTTCGCTCGACGCGGGATCATCTTGTCGCAGTACGTCCGCCCGAAGCAACAACTCGCGGATCATTTGACGAAGGCGCTGGACGCAGTCAAGCTCGCGGCGCTGTGTGAGATGATCGGTCTCGATAAGGACGGTATGTCGTAGCCGAGGAGAAGTGTTAGAAAAAGGCACGGTTGAAGTTACAGTTGAGGAAACGGCTGACGACTTAGTAAGGCGTTTGAAGATCTGTTGAGTGATTGATTGGACAGATGCGTGGATGGGTGATTGATTGGACAGGAGTGATGGAGAACAAGAACAGCTAGTCCATCATGCTAGCACGAAAAAGATAACACTACAAACAATGTCAGAATCCTTTTATCACAGTGCCACCGACTTCCTCTCTACAGCTTGCATCATGGCAAGCGAACAAAGTCTAATACCGGCGGCGCGCTGCGTTTTAATGGGATGGTGGTGAGCTGGAGAGCTTGCAAATAGGGAGAACTATCTCGGGTGACCATGGAAGCCGAGTTTGTAGCCGCTACCAAGGCGGCACGCGAGTTGCTCGAACTGCGTAAGATGCTCAGCGAGATTGGTATGGCATGGGTATTGCTAATAAAGCTCTATGTCGACAACCAAGCGGCCATCGGTCAAATTTCGGGTGAAGCACAATCGGTGAAGGCCAAGCATATCGATGTTCGACTTGAGTTCCTGTGCTGTTCTTCGCGCCGCGGTGTGATCGCTGCGTGCTACCTGAGGTCAAAGATGATGCTTGCCGATCTAATGAAGAAGGCTTATGATGCGTCGAAGCTTGCATCGCTTCGTGGGATACTATGCATCGGCTAGGGGAAAGGAATGGAAGGCGCACTCGAGGAGGAGTGTCGGAAGTTTAGGATTTCTAAAGTTGAAGCTGCGATTAGCACCAGACATCATTTGCTGCATGCATAGTGAATGGAAGTAGTTAGTGCTTGATACCAATCGGTATTGAAATGATTGGAGCAGAGGAGGTAAGGTGAAAGAGAAACTCACGGAAGAGTAAGTCATCTTACTTCAGAATCTTGTCATCCTTTTCCTTAGGCAGTGTATATTGCCAACAAGACTGACTATGTGCACATTTTAACGGAGAGCAAGGAGAAGTGTTTACGTGATGTGAGTGTGAAAATGGTAAGGCCAAATGTGATTGGCACTAAATAATTAGCGGGAAAATAACTTTTATACGACCTGGGGAGATGACACATTTGGCATTCTGGCCTATCGGCGTTGTGAAATACTCGGGTCTTTTTTTGATTGGCAAATTTGATCAAAGCGCACAAAACTGATCGGAGCGCACTAAATTAAGAGTTTACGTCATCACTGATCTTTGCTTTGTGGGGGGTACCAGTGCCAGGGGTGCGAGGATTGCAAAAGTGGGTGGGTGGAGAATCAAAACAGCGAAAACAACCGCATGTAATTGGTAAAAACGAAATCCACCGCGCTCCTTTCTCATTCGGAAAGGTCCTGGTCCCGGCGTATAGCACTTGGTTTTCCGGGATATGGTGGACGCAAATGTGTACTTCGGTGATGACTTCGGACAGAAGATCGACCTGACAGTTCGCATCCGCGAGATCTTGCGCAATTATCCTGGTATGCGCCGTCTATTTGAGCGCCCACGCGTCCTCCATTCCGCTCACAAATGAATTGATTTCTATTCTTCCTCCCGACGCGTTGACTTTATATAGAGGGCACGTCAATGTTCAAGGAAATGGTGCAGAACGCCGATGATGCAGGGGCTACTGAAGTAAATTTCTGTCTGGACTACCGTCATCATGCGTCGACAAGGCTCGCGTACGAGAAACTTGGGCCGTTCCAGGGTTGGTAAAAGACTTTGAAAGCCCTCATGAAGTGTCAGGACAAAGAGTCTAATATGTGTTACATCTGGTTAAATTCGTTACAGGTCCGGCTCTTCTGGTGCATAATGATGCCACGTTCACTGACGCCGATTTGCAGTCGATTCAGGTTGATGGGACTGAGCTTTGCTCTTCTTCGCTGGAAGTGGTACAACGTATGTTTCGAAAACTGATTGTTATGTACTATTCGTACTTGTAGCGCATTGGAAACTCGCTTAAGAAGGATGACTCAATGGGATGGAAGACTGGGCGCTTTGGCGTTGGTTTTAATTCCGGTACGTCTAGATATCGATAGCTACAGGAGTTGGGATCAATAGTCTGAGCCAACCCCCGTGGTCACTTGCGCTTTTGTTTACTCCTGCTTGCGCAGTCTATCACTTGACCGATCTACCCTCATTTGTTAGCGGTCGACAGTTAGTTTTCTTCGACCCCCAGGTGCGTCGAATACATCATTCTTGTTGTGTAATCGAAAGAGGCGAGCAGAAGTGCCGATAATAGTACATTTGTGCGCTTATCCTGCTGCACCACGTGCTTGACTGTACAGGCTTGTCATTTGCCAAACGTCAACCCTAGCAATCCAGGAAAAATGATTGATTACATTGCGCACCCTGATCTTGCGAGCGACTTTCCTGACCAAGTTTCACCGTTCCGATGTTTTGGATGCAATTTTGCTGAGCCATTCAAGGTAGGCAATTTGACGTGCTTTTTACACGAGCTTCCCACCTCAGCTAAGAAATGCGTTGCAACAACTCGTTACTTAAGGGGACCATTTTTCGCCTTTCGCTACGAACCGAAGAGCAAGCTCAACGAAGCAGGCTTTCAAATCGCGCCCAGAAACCCGCACAAACGGCAGAACTGCTCGAGGAATTTGCTGATACATTACATCTTGTGCTGCTGTTCTTGCGTAACGTGTCAAAGATTTCAATTTGGGAATGGAGATCAGACGAAGAGTTTCCTATCATCGTACGGGAAGCTTTGATTGACGATATGACGTCGGAGGTTAGATTGAAACGGTCTTTCCGCCATACTAGCGTGGCTTTTCCTGCTCAATCTACTCATAGATTCCCTATAAAAGGTAACCGTCTATTGTTGCAAAATTTTAATGTTACCGATACATGGGCACTGACAGACGTCTGTTCATTCAACACAGGAATTTTCCACGACTACTCATTGAAAATCGTAGCACGCAATTGCACTAAAAACACATCGAAGGACTACGAGTACTTTATCGCGAATCAGCTTGGTGGTGGGGAATGCTCCAAGATTGCTTGCAATCCATCCAACGCTGATCAGCATCTGATCCCGTGGGGTGGAGTAGCTGTTTTGACTACTGCCGATTCCACGGTTTGTGCTGCGTCCGGCCTGGCTTTCTGTTTCTTGCCCTTGCCAGCGCATACGCACTTACCTGTGCATGTGAGGACCCGTCTATCATTACTGTGCGCAATTGATGAACTAACGAGTTCTATGGCTACTTATCAGGTGAACGGGTACTTCGAACTTTCGTCAAATCGTCGAGACATTTGGTACGGCGAGGGACTAAGCGGAAAAGGGCGGCTTCGAGCGCAGTGGAACATTGCATTACTTTGCGATGTGATTGCGCCGTGCTATGCCCGAGCGATCTTGCACCTGGCCAACACGAAACTCATGCGTCCTGATCAACATGTCAAGTTGTTGCCGCAAACACTCCCGCCAGCCCCTTGGGACTCTTTAAGTTCTGCATTCTTCTCGTTGATTCGCGGTAAGCCGTGTTTGTACAGTGAGGTTGGAGGAGGTCGGTGGGTGTGTCCTGCTGAAAGCATGGTCTTCAGCAGCGTGAATCCGGACTCGAAAAAAATAGAGCAGTTGATGCTCGATGATGGGCTTCCTGTTGTCAGGAACTTGACGGAAGATCAAGAGCGCCTACTGGTCAAATTAACAGCAATCCTGTCGTACGCTGGACCGCAGAACGTGCGAGACGTTTACAAAGCGAAATTTTCTAGCCACGCAGGCAATCGAGAAGCTACCAAGTACCTGCTAAGTTTCATGTTAAGTGATCTTGAGCCAGCCCGTTTGAACGCTCTTGTTGGCGTTAATTTTCTCCCTGTGGCCGATGGCACACTTCGAAAATTTGAAAGTCGCCCCAGGTTTGATCCTGCTAGTCTTGAATACTTGCGTTCTATGGGCTTTTCGCGACAACACGCTAATCACGCGCTTGCAGTCGTGGGTGACGCCGGAGTAGAAAACACTTTGGATTGGTTACTTCGAAATCCCAATCCAGCGGTAGCATGCGGTAAAGACGCCCGTACGACGTTTTTGATTCCCAATCAAGAAGAATTGGTGTTACTGGATAAAGCGCGCGGCCATCTTGTGCGCGTTGAAGCGTTGACTCAAAGCGGGATGAATCTTCTTTCGTCCGACATGGCAGGAGATATCCTTAATGTGCAGAAACTGGACTATCAAGGGTTTGAAGATATGTTGGCAGTAATTTTGCCAGCGGCGTGGTTTGGGATGTCATCGGTGCCCTGGACTGGTGAGGATGCGCCTGACGAGGAATGGTTTCGGCGTCTCTGGGCATACATTGGCAAAAGCAAGCACCTCTCTGCATTTAAGGACAAGTGGCCGATCGTTCCAACGTCGTCCGACACACTGGTGCAGTTGAATCTTTCAGCTGGCGTGTTGAGCGCCGAATGTATACCTGATGGTTGCCTCCAATGCTTGCAAAAGCTGCAAGTTCGTGTATTGCTACCAAATTTGTTTTCGTCTTTCCAACCGAATCCTAGCCTATGGCATCATATCCATCAGCCTACTGCTATTGGTGTGCTGTCGTGTATCGAAGTGGCTATCGGTGCAGGAGGGGTACCAACACGGGTGAATGAGTTGTTTGAGAACACCAATATTTCAGATCGCAAGCACCTGCTTTGTTTTCTGGCATCCAGCGTCACTGAAGAAATCGGATCGGGCCTTAAGCATATTTGCTGCAATTTGCCAATCCTGCCGGGGTTACGCGATGCTACTGGTGCTGACAAGTGTGACATTCGATGGACGAACGGCAACGATAATTTTGAAAGCATGGACAGCGGGGTTTCTCTCGCATTTGTTTCAATCGCGGAACTAAAGGCGCAACGTCTGGAACCACTGTTATGTGAGGGCATCGCTCCAGAATATCTCCATGTCAATTTTATACACGTAAGCGAAGGCGATGTGTTGATAGCAAGTTTTTTGTCACATTTAGGTGTCCGACGGATTTCTAAGGTGGATTTTTTTGCGAAGTACCTCATTCCTCGTATCAACTATGTTAAGCCCGAAATTCGCGTGAAATTCGTATACAAGCTGCTGGTGGAACTACCAATGTTGCTAGCGGATGACAGTGAAGGCGTTTTGCTACATATCATAGAGACCGCGGCAATTTTTCCGACAATGACGGGAGGGGTGAAGTCTATTGGCGATTTGTATGACCCTGAGATCGATGAGTTCATTGAATTAATGGACGGGTCATTTTTTCCGGCCCTTGAGCTTCAAACTCTACAGCCTCTTTCTGCGCTGCGATCGATTGGCCTGCAGCGTGCTTTGTCACGTCGATCCATTTTGTCGCTAGCCGTTTCTTTGGAAAAAGACCAAACTGAAATTCTGACAGCTTGTACTGACCCAGAACAAGTTGCTGCGTTAGATGAAATGCGTGAGAAGCTGCGCATACGATCCGTTAACTTGTTGCAATATGTGGACACGCACATGGACCAACTGGTAACCCCGACACCGCTCCAAATGCAAGTGCAGACATTCGCATCGAATAGGAAAAAGGGCAAGGGCATTAGCTTTTTGAGAAACGTGTTGGGTAATGACCGTCCGCGTGGAATTAACATACCACGTGATATAAGCGTTCCTACCGTTGAAGCTGTGGAGAAGCAAGAAATGGAGAGGACGGAGATAGGTGATTTTAAAGCCAAATTAGCAATTATTGCCTGGATTCCAGTATGCGAGGAG